CCAAGACTTTGTTTACGGGAGTATAAAGTCCAGTCTTTCTCCTAAAGGAGCTGATGGTGGTTTTGAACAGCTGACTATTCAAATCACAGCCCAAAGCACAATCATTACACCACCGGGGATCCTCACCTGGGTGGGAAGAGGTGGTAAATGCTCAGTTTTCAACTGAGACAGGAGAAGGAATACAAATGTGAGACAGTCATTTTCATCCTTAGTTTTTTGTCACTGTTGTTTAATTCTTAGTAAAGCTTCTAATTGTCCCAATCCACTAATCTTAGTTCTCTCTTCCTACAGGGCTGATTCTTAAATAGAAAACATTTTAAAATCTTTTAAGAGCCTGGTTTAGTACTTCCAATCTTCACATGACAGTTGTCCTCTTCCTGAGGCAAATCTTTGTACTCACAAGGATTCCTTATGCAACCTGGTTTCCAAATCCTTGATCAACTGGATGGTAGAATTTGGAAGCATCTGATTTTCCCAATACCATTGTTAAAGTATACCCATTCCAGTGAATAAATCACTTTGTTTTATTTGGTCAGCACGACGTATAAGGGAGTTCATCCATTCCTTCACCTAAGCACTTCATGGCTTTCCATCAGTACTACCACAGGCTGGGCTGGGGTATTTTTCATATTATTCTTTACCATCTACATTATCACAGCAGCTCTTCCAAGTCTTTTCCTTATGTGCTGCCAGGTCAGATTTTACCCAATCTTTAACGCATTCTTTCATACTTCTGTTTATAATTATCTTGTTTACTTCCACCTAAGCTTTTTGCTTCCAAAACTATTTCTTAATCCATTGTATTAGTTATTGCTTTCAACACTTGGACTTCCTTACTTTGTGTATGGCATTTTACTTCATTTAAATCACTGGGCAAATGCTCAATAAAAAGGGGCCAAAGAAAGTATTAACTCTTCTTCTTAACTCTTCAGTGAACGGTAATTATGTTCATATATTCTTTTTTGCCAAACCAGTTCCTCCCTCATGGATTTCCCCTAATTTCTATGACACAATGAGGACTGTTCAGTTATTGACCAGGACTATAAGACTTTCAAGAATTAGAAGGGGCTTTCCAGATCTAGTCTTGGCTAATTCAAAATTTATGCAATAAGAAACAGGAAATCAGGAATGTTTACTTATATACTGTAGTTATATATGAGTAGTAAGTGGCATATTACTGGGAGAAATAGGGAATTAAAACTCAACATATATATCGTGTTCTTTCCATTAAAATTTCTGTATCTTAGTCTATCTGAAAACTACATTGATTTTTATTATCCTTTATATTGTGGGTTTGTTTTTTGAAGATAATCTTCTGTTTACCATACCAGGTGCAAATATGCTATCTCCTCTACATCTTAAGTCCATTCAGGACATAGATGGGTAAATCTGTGTCTACTCTGACAAAATGACCAGCAAAATAAATACAAGTTTGGGGAAAGGGGTGCTGAAGGAACTGAGGAAAAGACCAGCTTGCATTTCAAATCCTTAACCTTGGTCCACAGATGCAGTTTAAATTAATTAGCAACTTGCTAGGATTCAATAGAGAGAATTATAGTTTTATCACTGCACTGATAAGATAATATAATGCATTACTGTACCAGCAATGTAACATTCTTTTTATGCCATTTCTACTTGATTTATGGTCAGCAACACTTATAACCAATCCTAAATATGTATCATGAATAATAAATAACACTGTCATTAGCCTGTCTACCACGAGGGCTAATATTGTTAGTGTTTTACTCTATGATTTGTAACTGGCTTACAGCAGAAATGCTTTTATTAAAAAAAATGGAACTATCTTTTAATATGTTAAAAAGGAATCTAAATAAATTATCTAAAGGGAAAATTAAGCAAACTTCCCGAAAATGAAAATGGAAAGATCTGAAAAAATTAGAAACTCCCCAAACAACATATTTCAGAGGTTCTGACTGGCCACCAAAGCTATCTAAAGAACAAACGACGCTCTTCCTATCACAATTACAGCATTCTTTTTCTACAAAGTGCTGAGCTTCTTTTCCAGTCTGCCTTTTCCCTGGAATCTCTTCACGGGCT